CCCACAAGGGAATATGTGTGATCAGTATAATTCAGCACCTGATGAGGCATTGGATTCTATGACCCTAAAGTAGACAATCAAACTCACTTCTCCACCATTAAGATGCACTAAACGAAATTAGCTGGGCGTGCTGGCGGGCGCCTGTAGTCCCAGCTACTCAGGAGGCTGAGGCAGGAGAATGGCGTGAATCCGGGAGGCGGAGCTTGCAGTAAGCCGAGATCGTGCCACTGCACTCCAGCCTGGACAACAGAGCGACACTCCGTCTCAAAAAAAAAACAAAACAACAACAACAAAAAAAGATGCACCAAACACCTAGAGAAAAATGAAACACATGATTGTCTTAGATATCAAAGCACAGACTGGACTTCCCAAGGGAAAAGGTGACAAACTGTCCTGGCAATGGAACTGGGCCTTGATGCTCACAATTCAAGATAAGTAACATTCACAGAATTAGAAAACAATGATGAGGCAAGACCTCTTGGGACCTGTGGTATAAAAGGATGGGGAGAAAGGCACTCTGCCTTTCTAACTAAAATAACTAAACATTCCCCTCTTTTGACCAACACTAGCTACTACTGCTTCTTTATTTATGACAACTAACCCTACCTTAATCTTTCTAACACCTAGATAAAAGTTATCAAAATAGCCAATTCCTGAATTGCCCCACTTCATTAAACCTTCCTTATAATAGCCCACCACAAGCCCAAATCCCATAAAAAGCCCTCCCAACTACCTACTACCAAACTCTCCAGAGTTCCTTTGGTATGCAATCTCCCTTGCTGCAACAAACAAAATGAATCTAATTTTACCACATCTTGTTTCCAGTGGTTCTTGGCTGGTGGGCTTCAACCCAGGGCAATCCTGATGTTAATCATCTGCCCCAATGTCACACGACAGGTCCCAGTTCTGGCTTTGGAAATCTGATCACCATAAATACATTGTTCAAACAGCAACACTGGTTAATTCATGAGAAACAGAGTCCCAGTTTCAGATTACTGTCCACGAGTGACTATGGTCACCAACATTCTAATTGTGAGAATCTGTAAACCACCTTAGAAGTACTATTTTACCTCCCTATAGACAGAAGAATGGTGGTGTGGCAGTGGCGGCAGTGGTTATGAGCATTGCAGCTAGCAGTGGCACAGCCTTGTTTCATTGAGGCTTATTCGTTCACAAAAATAAACAAAATATTCACCATAAGGTAACAGATATCACTTCAGATAAAAATACATTTCCCAAATTGAAAAATAATCATTTCTGACTTGAAACCAACTCGTTATTATAAAAACATCTTTGATATATAAAGACCTAAAATTAAAATGTCATCCTTAAAAATCAAGTTAAAATCAAGACATTAAACAAAAAAAAATATAATAAAAACATGAACATATTTTCAGCACTTACTATGTGCCTGGATTTCTGACATTTTACATTATTTCATTTTATCTATGCAAACACTTTTTAAAAATATTCCTATGTATAAATGAGAAAACAGAGGTTCAAGACGATAATTTATCTGTGAAGCAGAACTACAAGTGGCAGAACCAAGTTTTAAAAGCCAAATGTCTATCCAGTAATTCCAAACTCCAAGGTTACCAAGCAGATCATTTTTCTTAGGTGTGAGAATGAAACTACACTGTCCTTGGAGCAATAATAAAATCTGATTATAATGAAAGCAGTTAAAAAAAACAAAAACAACTTCAGAGCACTGCTTACAGTGTCTTTTAGTATTAAAATTTCACTTACCATGTCAAGAGTTTATTTTTATTATTCTATTTATAGCCAAAATATACCAAGGAAGTTACTTTCATAGACTACTTGATATAGAGAGTCTACTTGCTATAGAGTTCTATATCAATAAACACACATTTCAAAAAATAGTTGGTATATAAATTATCTAAATATAATCCTTGTTTTATAAACTTCCTCTTTCTGATGTATCCTCTAAAAGAGGCATGTGTGAACTATGCACAATGCATGTGCAAAGAGAATTTTAATAGAAAAGCATTATCCCCATCCCCAATAAATAAAATAAAAATGAAAAGACCTTTAAAAGACACTTTCAGTAACAGTTCTTTTCCGAATAAAATAAACAAGAGCAAAGGGCACCTTGACTACTACTTAGAAAATAAAATCAGAACACAGGGAAATCTGTAATTCTAATCACATTTACACCTTCTCTCCTTTTTTACATTTCTCATCCAAACATCCTTAGGAGCTCAATAGGCTTAAAAGAATTGGAGCAGGGTAGAGAACAAAGGTGAGGGGAATCTGAGAAACGGTTTAAATCACTGCTCTCACAATTTTAATAATTTCAATTTGGATAGCATTTTTTTCAGAAGAAGTAAAAGTCACAAAGGTAGGAAGAAACTAAAAACTTATTCTACCTTCTTATATTATACAAACTGCATTTTGGCTAGACATCTCAGGGATTAACCACTGTGAACAAGAAATGCAAGAAAGCAGTAAAAATATATACTTCCAAAAAAAAAATCAAATTAAATGTGTTTTAGTCAGTGAAAGGCTACGTGCTAAATGAATACATTTGTTAAAAGATATTACTATTTGTATTCTCATGTAGAAATGACTAAACCATGTTCTCTCTTGAGATTGAGGATAATCTTAGAAAATATGATAGTCAATTACCATATTCAATCATGTTAAATGTTGTAGATAATATAAAAATACAAAAAGAAAGAAAAGTATTTACTAAGCATGTGGTATGTTTGGTTTACTCAATTTGGGATTGAGGGGTTTTTTTAGAGAGATGAGAGGAATCAGTGCTTAAAAAACAGTTTAATATTTTGCTGAATTGTTTGTAAAAGGATGACCAATAACACAGACACAAAACTTCAGAATTGTATCAAATTCCTAATGAATGCCTTTTTTGGGGCAGTGGGTATAAATCAGCATAGTACTTTTTACTTTTGTGTGACTTTTTCTTAGTGAAAATATTAAAGGAACTTAGCTTTTCTTTTCACTAGTACCACCGATGGCTCTAAGCCTCTTCTGTGAGTGCTCCGGTGATTCCTCCACCACCTTCAGCCATAGATTTGAAAAAGGTACTAGCAATAGGAAAACAATCCAGAGTGACTTAGAAAAGAAAGATTCCTTGCCGTC